GTTCAGCTTCCAGGGCGTTATTAGTGCTTATTATTTTTCGTTGGGGGGGTGGAGTGGGCATTTAGCCTAGTGACTAAGATAGGGACATCCCACATGGGTGTACCTGGCTTCGATTCCTACTCCTGGCCCTCTACGCCTACTTCCTGCTAATGCTAATACAGGCCTTGCCAGGCAGCTTCGACGGCTCAAGTCACCAAGTTCCTGCCACCCAAGTGGGAGACCTAGGTTGGTTTCCCAGCTCCTGCCCTACCCAGCCTATGCCACTGCCGACATTTGGGGAGTCAACCAACAGATAGGGAGCTCTGTCTCCCAAAAAAATAAGTTCATGAAAAAATGAAATTCAAAGATGTCTATTTAACTTTTTAACTTAATGTTTGTTTTTACGAGGCACAGTGCAATTCCTCTACACAGGCACCAACTGAAAACATCAGGGAATCAGCATTTCCACTTATCTTTCTGCCTGGAGCCTACCAGCTCCTCTGTTCCAGCTCATAGGCTATTACTATTATTTATCCCATTTCTTCGGACTCCTTCGTCACAGCCCGGAGCAACGCAGGTCCCCACCACATGCAACCGACTTGTTACCACGCACCTACTATGCGCCAGGCACGGCTTGTGACTGACAGCGCGTCCTGGCCTCCGCGACGGCCGGGCCTCGGCCAGCCGGACGCACCGGTGCTGCCCGACGCCCGCCCCGCTCGGCGACCCGCACACAGTAGGCGCTTCTCCGGGCGGCGCGCGCGCCCCGCCCCGCCCCGCCCCCGCTCCAGGAAGTGCGGGGGCTCCAGCCGCCCGGCCGGCCTCGATGCATTCTGGGAAAGCAGCAGCACCAGGTCCAAGATGGCGGCCAGCAGGAGGCTGATGAAGGTAAAAGCCATTCTCCGGCGCCGGCCGGGCGGGGAGCGACGCCCCGGGCCCCCGGCCCCCACGGCGGGCCTGGGTTCCTCGGGGGGGGCGTCTCCCCCCGGCCTCCTGCTCTGCGTGGCCCCTGCCGGCGGCCCCCCCCCCCCGGCGCTCGCGGGTTGTGGGAGGTAACGGGGACGCCTAGGCCGCAGCCTGGGCGGGAGCGCCAGGCCGCGCGGGGAGCCGCCACCGCCGCCGCCGCCGGCTCCTGGGTTTGGCCCTCGGGGGCTGGGGGCGTCCACGCCGGCCTGGTTCCCCGGATCCAGCGCGGCGTCTTCCCCGCCTCCCCCAGCTCCCTCGCGGAGGCCGCGGACCGGGCCGGGGGCGCCGTTCATGGCGGGTGCCGGGTCAGGAAGGCCCCAAACCGGGCGGCCGCGGGGGGAGGCCCCGGCGCCGGAGCCCCGGCCGAGGGCCCGAGCCGCCGCGCCCTGGGCCGCCACGCTCTGGGCTGGGAGACCCGCTTGGGCGGCCCGCAGCTTGGGAGGCCCGGGAAAGGGTGTGGGGGGGTGCGTGTGAGCTCGGACTGGGGACGGAAGGAGGCCGCCGCGCTGCCAAAGTTAAGGTCAGGTTGTCGGTGGGCCGGTGAAGATTGCGCAGGGTCCCAGCACGCTGTCTCCTTGTGACTGCGGGACCACACAGCGGGCAAGTTCCAACTCCGGGAAGGCGTGCGGTGGGCGCCCTGCTCGCCGTGTGGTTCTGTCCCCTCCCCGGTTGCTTCCCTGTCCACCTCTTAGTCATCACGGTCTCCTCCCCCCCCCCCCCGCCCTAGGAAGCAAAATGGCATTTTTTTGGGGGGTTGGGGTGGGGGCGGGGAGGGAGGTGGTTGGCTTGAGCCGTTGGAATCAAGCCGGGCCAAAGTTTATTTAGAAAAAAAAATAACAACAACAACTTGGTACACGTACTTTGGATCTTGAATGCGGCCGGGTTGCCTGCTCGCTAAGGGGCTCTCCTTCGGTGAGGCTTCACAGCTGTGAAATGGGCTGAGTTCTTTGGCCGGGGGAGGGGGAGGGGACGGTGGGATCTCGCCGACCCCTGCCCACGTTTGTGATTCGGCTGTAGGGGGTGCACAGGGCCGGAAATGATTAAAAAAAATCAATAATAAAAAAGAAGACCTGAAAGGGAAAACAGTGTGGTCCTTGGCAGACCCGTGGTTGGGCTTGGGGGGTCCCAGCCTTTCGGCCCTCTGGCTGAGTGAGAGTGCCCCTCCGTCTTTTGTTCACCGAGGGCCAGAGAGGACGGGTAACTCTTTATAAAACAGAGTGTTAGCGCAAAGGGAGCTCAGGAGAGCGCAGACCCCCGCCATCCGCCATCCTACTCCCAGATGCTGTCATCGGGGAAACCCTGGGCTTGAACTTCGGGAATAAATGTCTCGCGTGCGTACGTTGCTTGCTCATCTCATTGAGATGACTGGCAACCATACCTGTGTCTCCCAGGTGCCCTCCCCAGCGCTCTGCATCGACCCTTCTCTTTATGGGCACCAGAGTGCCCCCCCCCAGCAAATATTTGACCCTTTCGCTCTTGTTAAAAAGACCTCTGTGGGTTTAGTGACCTCAGCAGTTAATCCTAACCTCTTACTAGGCAGGCCAGTCCTTTTCTTAAGACTGCCTGAAAAGCAGTGTGTTCGGCCTCACCCACCCTGGCCTATGGTGTCCTCCCCTGGGCACCTGGACACGGCACCCTCCGTCTCCCCTGGCATGTACGGTGTGGCCTTCTGTAGTTGGTGCTCACGTTCAGTGACGTCGACCTTGTGCTCCCCATGTTCCTTAATGAGAAAAGTCAAGGCAGATTTGTTGGCCTGTCCCAGTTTTCCTAGTTGGGGAGAGAAAGCTGTGATCTGGCTCAGTTCTGCCTGACCCCAAACCAAAAGCCTCCGGCTGGTGTTCATTTGCTGTGCGCTGCTGCTGTTCCTGAGAGTGGCTGCCTGGTCACTTTCAGGCCAGTCCTTAGGCTGGACTCTAATGCAGCCGCTCTGGGAGCCCCCACCCCCACCACCATCCACCTTCAAAATGAGTTGTTTCCTCCTTCAGTGACCACAGGACTTTCTTTATGTTTCTCTTTGAACCCTCCTGGTGATCTGATTTGTGTTACAGACTTGTCTTTCCTGCCTGAGTTCTGAGTTCCTGAAGGGCAGGAGTCTTGACCTAGTTCTTCCTGGTATCCCCCTAATTCAGCCCATTTGACCCAGTTTGGAATCCCCCGGCTCTCAGGGGTCTGAGAGGGGACTAACTATGGTATTTAAATTATTTGTTTCAAAAAAAAAAAAAAAAGAGCTCAGAAAAAAGGAGGTAAAGTTCACTAAGTGCTCAGAGTGAATGTATTGTCACCTTTGTTTTCACAAATGAGGAAATTGTGAGGTTCAGATAGGTTGAGAAGTGAAATAGTAGACAGTAGTGGGGAGAGATAAGACACAAAACCTCCCTGGCTCTGGCTCCATGCCCCTTGTCACCTTGCCTCCTTTTCTGCATGCAGGAGTGTGTCTAGTTTCGTAAGGTGTGGGTGGGAATTCCTTCAGTTCATTGGGGTTTTGTCTTGGAGAGCAGTGTGAAAGGGGGATGAGCATGTGCCATAGCAGATTGACTTGATGCTGGCGTGCTGTATCAGAGCACTTGGTTCAAGTTCCAGCTGCTCTGCTTCTCGTTCAGCTCCCTGCTAATGTGCCTGGGAAGGCAGCTAATGATGACCCAAGAATTTGGACCCCTGCACCATGTGGGAGATACAGAGGAAGTTCCTGGTTCCTGGCTTTGGCCTGGCCCAGACTTGGCTTTTGTGGCCATTTGGGGAGTGAACCAGCAGATGGAAGACCTCTCTCCCTGTCTCTTCCCCTGCTTCTGTTGCTTTGCTTTTCAAATAAATAAATAAATATATATATTTAAAAAAACAACATAGGAATATAAATTATTTTTTAAAAATTTTTAAAAGATTGTTTTCTTTGAAAGTCTATGGTATGCTGGTTCACTCCCCAGATGGCTGCAGGCCAGAAGCCAGGAGCTTCTTCCAGGTCTCCCATGTGGGTAGCAGGGGCCCAAGCACTTGAACTTCCTCTGCTGCTTTTCCAAGGGCATTAACAGGGAGTTAGATCAAACCTGGAGGACTCAGACTAGTGCCTGTATGGGATGCCGGAGTCACAGGTGGCTTTACCCGCTATACCACAACACCAGCCCAGAAATAAAAATTATTGATGCAGGTTAATCAGCAGGGTTAACCAACAGTCTTTCAGTTCATGGAGTGGAAATAATAAAAGGGATTTTGATGGTGAAAAATTGGAGCTTATTTCCTAGAACAATGCCTTTAGACATAGTAATCAAACAGATGTTGAATTATCAGGTTAATGACATCTTAAAGAACTTGAGTTTCCCCAAGAAATCTTTTCCAGGACACTCCATAGGGAGTGTCTGTAGAAACTGTGGATACATTATTAAAAGTAGCATGATTTGCATGTGTAAGGCTGGGAAGTAATTTTAGGCAGAGTGAGTATGATAAAGTTTTAATTTAAAAAAACATTTGCCAAATGGATTAACCTCTTTCAGAGCCCTTTTTAGGAATTACAATGTTAATAAAACAGGAAATACGGTTTAACTTGGAAGCAGCTAATTCAGCAGTGGTAGCAACAAGCGGATTGTAGCCACTGCCTCTGTTGGGGGCAAAGAGGGGGGAATAGATACAAAAGCCAGAAAGGAAACCTGTGTGTGGTGCTTAGGGAGGCACGTCCTTGTCTTATAATCTCTGCAACCCGGCAGTACACGTTGCCGCCAAGGGCCCTCTGGCTGAGTAGCGTCTCAGAATGGCTCTTCTCAGATGGGAAATGTGTGGATTTAGAGGGAGGGAGGTAACGTTTTATTAGTTATTATGGCATGCTGTATAGATAAGGAATTGAGATTTGTAGCATCCTTTTAATGCTATTTAAATAATGTTCACTCAGAAATACATATTGGTGTCCTGAGTCTTGAATCCCACGTGAGTAGCAGGAGGAATGGCCAAATAACAGTCCATTCCTTGGAATTCATTGCACTAAGCACTGAGCTAGTTTGCTCTTGAGTACAGGCTTATATTCTCTGAGGTTGGGTAATTAACATAATAGAGCAATGAGTGTGTCCTGTAGTTGTGTCAGGAGGTGAGAGGAGTTTTACATGTGATGATATGCCAATGTATGTGGCCAGAATCCATTTTGGGAATAGATTTTGGGGCTTGGGGAACTGGGGTAAGCATTGCATCTTTCTTTTTTTTTTTTTTTTGACAGGCAGAGTGGACAGTGAGAGAGAGAGACAGAGAGAGAAAGGTCTTCCTTTGCCGTTGGTTCACCCTCCAATGGCCGCCGCTGCAGCCGGCGCACCGCGCTGATCCGATGGCAGGAGCCAGGAGCCAGGTGCTTTTCCTGGTCTCCCATGGGGTGCAGGGCCCAAGCACCTGGGCCATCCTCCACTGCACTCCCTGGCCATAGCAGAGAGCTGGCCTGGAAGAGGGGCAACCGGGACAGAATCCGGCGCCCCAACCGGGACTAGAACCCGGTGTGCCGGCGCCGCAAGGTGGAGGATTAGCCTAGTGAGCCACGGCGCCGGCTCAGCATTGCATCTTTCCTACTAAGCTCATGCATTCCTATAAGTTGGGATTAATTTAGACTTCCTTAATGATACTGCTTGTAAACATTTCTTTAGTGAAAGAGAATTTAGAGGTGGCCCAGCATGGTAGTGTAATGGGTCAAGTTTCAACTTAAAGTGCCAGCATCCCACGTGGGTGAAAGGGTGTGTTTCTGCTGCTCCACTTCCAATCCAGCTCTCAGCTAATGCACCTGGGAAAGCAGAAAATGCCCCAAGGAGCCCTGCCACCTGTGTGGGAGGCCTCCATGGCATTTCAGGCTCCTGGCTTCAATCTGATCAGCCCTGGCTATTGCAGCCATTTGGGGAGTGGATCAACTGATGGAGGACATCTCTCTCTGTGTATCTCTTTCTCTCTCTGTAACTCGGCCT